GTGTGTGTGAATATGTGTGTGTGTGTGAATATGTGTGTGAATGTGTGTGAGTGTGAATGTGTGTGTGTGAGTGTGTGAATAAGTGTGTGTGAATGTGTGTGTGTGTGAGTGTGTGTGAATATGTGTGCGTGTGTGTGTGTGCGCGCGCACGCGCGCGAAAGAAAGATCTCCTCCCTCCCTCCCTCGGCAGAGCGCTCAGGGGGGGCCGAGGGCAGCGACCTCCTGCTCGCCGGCGTCCCTAGTGGCTGGGCGCTCGGCAGCGTGGACCCGCTGGTGCCGCAGCAGGTGGGAGGAGACCTTGAAGCGGCGCTCGCAGCGCCCGCAGGGGAAGGGGCGCTCGCCCGTGTGGACCCGCTGGTGGGTCAGCAGGTTGGACGACTGACTGAAGCCCTTGCCGCACAGGGGGCATGTGTAGGGCCGCTCCCCGGTGTGGACCCGCTGGTGGGTCAGCAGGCCGGAGGAGTGGGTGAAGCCTGTGCCGCAGACCCGGCAGGAGAAGGGCCCAGCCCCGGTATGGACCCGGCGGTGGGCCAGCAGGTGGGACGACTGGGTGAAGCCCATGCCGCAGACCCGGCAGGAGAAGGGCCGCTCGCCCGTGTGGACCCGCCGGTGCCGGGCCAGGCTGCTGGAGACCCGGAAGCGCTTGCCGCAGACCTGGCAGGGGAAGGGCCGTTCGCCCGTGTGGACCCGCCGGTGGGTCAGCAAGTTGCACGACTGGGTGAAGCCCTTGCCGCAGACCTGGCAGGTGAAGGGCCGCTCGCCCGTATGGATCCGCCGGTGGGCCAGCAGGCTGAAGGAGCGGGTGAAGCGCTTCCCACAGACCTGGCAGGAGAAGCGCGGCTCACCACTGTGGGCGTGCCGGTGGGCCAGTAGAGTGGAGGAGTGGGCAAAGGCCTTGCCACACTCCGGGCAGGAGAAGGGACGCCTTCCCCCCTCCTCCTCCTCCTCCTCCTCCTCCTCCTGCCCCCGCTCACCGACCCGGGCCTCCAGCTCTGTCCGGCTTCCAAAGGGGAGCTCGTTCTCTGCCTCGCCCATCCTCGGCTCCCTCCCCACCTCCGTCGGCCACAGTCCTTCAGGATCCCCCTCGCAGCCGGGCGTCCGTCTCTGTTGCTCTCCGGCCGTCGTGCCTCTTCCTCTCGGCTCTTGTCCTCCCTTACCCCTCTTCCACCACCCCCATCCGGTCGCGCCTGGCCCTTTCCCGATCTCCGGCCGCTCAGCCTTCCATGTCTTCTGACAGGACAGGGGCCTCCCCTTCGTCTGGACACCTGTGGGCGGGAGTCACCTGTTAGAGACAACTGCCTCCGTTTTCCGTTTCCCCGACTCCATTTCTCGCTGTCCGCCTCCCGCACCGTTTCCCCCCCAACCTTTCCCGACTTCCCAATTCCCCCCCAATCCTCTCTCGCTGACGCACGTTTCAAATTTGCAGCATGGAGAGGAAAGGGGAGGGGGTGGTTCGAGTGGCTCAATTCGGGCACAGCAAGATCCCAGAGGCAGCAAGTGGACCCACAGGCACTTCAAGCTGACTGGGGCGAAGCGGGGCAGACAGAATATAGCGTGTTGGGTGGGGTTGGCGGTGGGTTGGGGGAGTTCTGAGGTCGCCCACCTTGGCAGGAAGAACAGAGGAGCTGGTTATTCCTTAAAGGGCGCGGGCAGAAATTCATTCCGAGGAGTACCACGCGAGAGGATGCAAGGTCGTTCACTTCAGTGGGAAGGAGGAGACAGCCGCCTAGTCTCTGATTAAAAAAGTATCGCGAGTTGCAAAGGGGATCTGCAGGTTCTGGCGCATCGATCATTGGGGCATGGGAGCTGGAATAGCCTATTAATCCTGGTCCACCACGGCACATTGAACACTTCAGTGCCTTTTGCTCAAACTACCCAACCCCTCACTCTTTACACCATGGATAATTCAGAATGGGAGCAGGAGGAGGCCATTCAGCCCCTTGAGCCTATACTGGCATTCAACAGGATGGTGGCTGAGCTGACATCCCTCACGCCCACCTTCCTGCCCTTTCCCCGACTGATCAAGAATCTATCTCAGCCTTAAAAATTTGTCCCCCCCACCCCCGTGTCTTTGCAAAATCTCTCTCCTCTCACCTTAAAAATATGCCCCCTAGTCTTGACATCCCCTACCCTAGGAAAAAGACACCTGTCATTCATCTTATCTATACTCCTTTATAATTTTATAAACCTCTATAAGGTCATCTCTCAACCTCCTATGCTCCAGTGAGAAAGGTCCCAGTCTTTCTTTATCACTCAAACCCTCCATTCCTGGCAACATCCTGGTAAATCTCTTCTGAACCCTCTCCGGCTTAATAACATCCTTCCTATAACAGGGCGACCAGAACTGGACACATATTAGTCTGAGACTGTGCCGTCTGGCCCCAGACTCTCCCATGAGGGGGAAACATCCTCTTAGACATTTGCCCTGTCAAGACCCTTCAGAATCCTAAATGTTTTAATTAGATCACCTCCTATTCTTCTAAACTCCAGTGTCCCAACCTGTTTAACCTTTGCTCAGAGAGACAATCCCTCCCTGCTGGGAATCACACATTTAGCAACCTCAAGCTTAAATAGACACAAATCTGAGCTTCCACAGAGACGAAACATCTTACCTGCATCTACCGTGTCCTTTGCTCGGAGTATTTTCTAAGTTTCGATGCAATCACCTTTCATTCTTCGAGAACACAGGCCTGTTATACCCGGTCTCTCTTCACAGGACAGTCCCACTATCCCAGGGACAAGTCTGGGAAGCCTCCATAGTACTCCCTCTACGACAACATTACCTTTCCTGAGAATAAGGAAGCCCAGCCTCCCAGCCATTGACTCCATCTACACTTCTCGCTGCTTTGGGAAAGGCAGCCAACATCATCAAATAGCTTCAGAGATAGTAGGAACTGCAGATGCTGGAGAATCTGAGATAACAAGGTGTAGAGCTGGATGAACACAGCAGGCCAAGCACCATCAGAGGAGCAGGAAACCCCACTCATAATCTTTTCCAAACTCCTCCATCGGTAGAAGATACCAAAGCTTAAACGCATGTGCCAGCAGGTTCAAAAACAGCTTCTTCCCTGCTGTTATCAGACTTCTGAATGGAATTCTGAAATTTTTAATTTAATGTTGATCTCGCTCTTTGTGCATCTCCTCTGCTGCTGTTACACTGCATTCCTCGCTCTATTCCATTACCCTAATGCACTCTGTATGGCATGATCTGCCTGTACTGCACACAAAACAAAACTTTTCACTGTACCTAGATTCGTGGGACAGTAATAAATCAAACCAAATCAAAACCGTATGCAGTATTCCGGGTACAATCCAAGAAAGCTCCCATGCAATTACAGTCATAGAGTCGTAGAGCACGGAAACAGACCCTACAGCCCAATCGGTCCGTGCCGACCAAATATCCTAAACTAATCCAGTCCCATTTGCCAGTATTTGGCCCCTATCCCTCTAAACCCTTCCTATTCATGTTCCCATCCAGATGCTTTTTAAATGTTGTAATTGTACCAGCGTCCACCACTTCCTCTGGCAGCTCGTTCCGTACACACACCACCCTCTGTGTGAAAAAGTTTCCCCTTTAACACTTTTTTAAAGTCCCTTTTAAATCTTTCCCCTCTCACCTTAAACCTATGCCTTCTAGTTTTGTACTCCCCTACCCTGGGGAAAAAAGACCTTGTCTTTTCCCCTATCAATGATTTTATAAACCTCCATAAGGTCACCCCTCAGCCTCCGACACTCCAGGGAAAATAACACAAGCCTATCCAGCCTCTCCCTATGGCTCAAACCCTCCAACTCTGGCAACATCCTTGTAAGTCTTTTCTGCACCCTTTCAAGTTTTACAACATCTTTCCTATAGTAGGGAGACCAGAACTGAATCCAAAAGTGGCCTAACTAATGTCCTATACAGCCACAACATGACCCTCCCAACTCCTACACTCAATGCACTGACCAGTAAAGGCAAGCGTACCAAACACCTTCTTCACCGCCCTGTCCACCTGCGACTCCACTTTCAAGAAATATGTACCTGCACTCTCTGTTCAGCAACACTCCCCAGGACCTTACAATTTAGTGTATAAGTCCTGCCCTAAATTGCCTTTCCAAAATGCAGCACCTCACATTGATCTAAATTAAACTCCATCTGCCACTCCTCAGCCTGTCTTGAAGCAAAATGTCACTACTGCTGTATTCAAATCATCCCGAGATGAAGACCATTGTCCTATTAGCCTTCCTCAGAGCTTGCTGCACAAGCATTTGTGATTTTCTCGACAAGGACACCCAAGCCGCATTGTATAGCTACACTTTCCAACAGCTGATCTTGCAAACTGGACAACCTCACATTTTTCCAAATTTTATTCCATGTGCCATGCTCTTGCCCACACACTATGCCCCCAAATCTGCCTGAACCGGTCTTATGTCTTCCTCACCGCAGACCTTCCTGCTTAGCCATGAGACCTTAAGATTTAGGAGCAGTTTGGCCCTTGGAGTCTATTCCTACTGTTCGATCATGGCTGATGCGTTTCTCCAGCCCCCATTCTCCTGCCACCCACCTCTCTCCCTTTGAAGTACGGAAATCTTGGTTTCCGTAAATCCTCAATATATATTGTGAACAAAAGCGCAAAAGTCACGAAATATTCGTGTTCAGCAGGCTAATTGGACACATTCCCCCATCACGAGAGGTACTGAATATTTAGGGAAGGACGGTCTCTCCCCTTTAAGCGACCCTTAAAGTAAACCTCTCCCCTTTCAACTAAAGAGGCACTGGAAATGGTAACTCAGTTTCGCTCTCTCCCTCCTTCCACAGATGCCGCCTGAATGGCTGGGTTTCTCCAGCAACTTCTGTCTGTGTTCCACTTTAATGGGCTGTCCCCGTTAATCAGAACATTCCCTTTGATGGGTCTACCCCTTTAATCAAACTGCCCCCATAATAAAAATATTCCCCTGAATGGACCCTCCCATTTAACCAAATCATTCCCTTTAATGCACCCACCCCTTTAAATAAACGTTCCTCTTTCTTCAATTCTCCCCTTAAATCAAAACATCCCGTTTAGCCAATATCCCCTTTCAAAAAAAATTATTGCCTTGAATGGGGCCACCCCTTTAATCAAATATCCCCTTTAATGGCTGTCATCTTTAATTTCCCTTTAAATGGACCACCCCTTTAATAAAAACATACCCTTGAATCAACCTTCCCCTTTAATTAAAACATTCCCCTCTAATGGGCCCTCCACTTGAAATAAAACAAACCCTTCAATGGGCCCTCCCCTTTAACTAAAACAATCCCTTTAATGGGCCCTCCCCTTTAACTAAAACAATCCCTTTAATGGGCCCTCCCCTTTAACTAAAACAATCCATGAAATTATGACAATCACTTTAATTAAATCAATTCCTTTAATAGACCCCACCTTTAATGAAAACATTCCCTTTAATTGAAACAATTCCTTTAAAAAATAAAATATTCCCTTTAGTGGACCACTCCCCCCACTCATGGTCCGGGGCCCTCCTTCACTTTTCTGTCGGCAAACTATTTATTGGACGACGATCCCTTTAAATGGGGTCCCCTTTCCCCATCCCTTTAAATGTTCAGGGTAACGAAAACAACCGTCTGCTCCCTACAACCCCAGGAGCGGGTGGACCGGTGTTACGGGAAGTGGACGGTGTGATAGAGGAGGGAGGGACGGGCTGAGGACGTACGAAGGGACCAAGGTTACAAAAGGCCGCCACTCACCCCCTGGGCCTGAAGGCCGCGTCCACAAGATGGCCGCCCCGATCCTGGGGGAGGAGACCCCGCCCACCGGCGGCATCGGACACACCCACCTCCGCCCCATTGGCCGACGTGATATAGTCACGCCCCTTGGTGGCGCGGACCGCGCCCGTCGAGGATGCCCATTGGTCTTGGGGACGTCGCCACGCCCCCGTATACGTCAGATGGCTTTCGCCCCGCCTGAAAGCGCATTGGTCATCGTCGACCGGGCCACCGCCCACATCCCCCGCGCCGGGTGACGTCCGTCTGACAAGCACTAATCCCGGCGGTACGAACCACGCACATTATCATCGTCTCATTGGTCGAGGCGTCTCGCACCCGCCCCCACGTGGGGCGGGGAACCGTTTGACGTCCGCCCACGATGCCAAAACCCATTGGCCACCTCGGGGGCGTGGCACCGCCCCTCGGCTCCAACGGGCCTCGCCCGCCCGTGCCGGCTGCGCGCCTGCGCAGTGCGGGGCCCGTAGGAAGGGGCGGAGCCCGTGTGACGCGCGGATGCGTTTGCGCGCCTGCGCAGTGCAGGACCCGAAGGTTGTGGTTGCCGGGGGGAGGGGGGTCGTCGTCGTCGGCGCGTTGAAGAGGAGGGGGTGGTTCTGCTGCTGCTGCTGCTGCTGCTGCTCACCTCAGTTGTTGTTGTCACCATGGCAGCGGCGGGGCCGGCGGGAGCGGCCGTTAGCAGCCGCGCGCGGCGGCACAAGTGGGCGATCGAGCTGCACGCGGCGGCGGGAAGGTGCGGGCCCCTCGCCCACCGGCCGGAGCCTCGGGCTCGAGTGCGGCGGCTGGCCGGCCGCAGGGGCGCCGAGGGCGGCGTGACTACCGGGACCCCGACCCCGGGGGTGAAAGAAACCGCACCCCAACCTCCCCCCTTCCCCGGGAACCTTCAGAAAACTCCAGAAGTCGACCTCAAACCCCATCCCCTCCCTGGAATTCACCTTAACCCACAAAAAAATATTTGCCTTAATTACCCCTCCCCCGTCCCCCCAGAAATTCACTTTAAATCCCCCCCGTCCCCCCAGAAATTCACTTTAAATCCCCCCCGTCCCCCCAGAAATTCACTTAAATCCCCCCCGTC